AGCTTCCATAAATGGAATATTAATCTGTAAATGCTTGAAAATATCCATGAATCTTGCAAACTGTCTTTCTTTATCTATATGTGAGGGAACCTTTGGATATGATAACTTCTCTACAAATGGTTTTTGACTCCCTCCTTTTTCTATCTTTTGTTCTCCCTCTTCGTTCTTCTTATTAGGGATATGTCTTTCTTTATTATTCTCTTTTTCTTGCTCTTCATCTTCTTTTACCAAAAATTCTTCTTCAACAATTATATTGTTACCAATCCCCTTACTTACAACTTTTCCACTCCTTGTAGTTATTGAATTGCATTGCTCCTTGGGGTTGATTTGTGTGTTAGCTGAAAACTGTCCTCCTTGTTGCTGTTCAGATAATTGCTTAGCTAGTTGGCTTATCTGGATCTCTATATTTCTGAATGAAGCCTCAATATTTTTCTGATTAGCCATAGTGCCTTGCATGAATTTTTCTAAAGTTGCCTCAGTATTTTTCTGATTAGCCATAGTACCTTGCATGATTTTTCTAAAGTATCCTCCAATTTACTTATTTTGTCAGGCACTGAAGGATAATGTTGTTGCTGCTGTTGATATGAAGGTTGCTGATATGACTGTTGTTGAAATGCAGGTTGTCTAGTAGATGAGCTAACACCTTGGTTCCATCCAAAATTCTGATTCTGATTTTGATTCCCTCTCTATCCTTGTGCAAAATTATTCTGATAATTATTGGAATTAGGAAAATTACCTTGTCTACTTTGACTACTACCTTGGGCCCCCATATAATTAACTTCTTCTATCTAAATGTTGCCTTGATAAGAGCATTGTTCATTTGCACGATCACCTCCACACACGTCACAACTCATTTGTTGATTAGGAATAGATTGTACTGTGTGCATTTGTTGAGATAATTTCTCTATTTTTTGGGTCAATGCTTCAATTTGTTGTGTCAAAATTTTATTCTGGACTAAGAGAGCATTTGTGGTGTTAAGTTCAAGGACTCCCTTTCTTTGAATTTGATGTCTATCATGTTGAGCATGTTAGTCTGTAAAGGCTAGTGCATCAATAATTCTTGTGGCATGATCAATTTTTACATCCAACATGGATCCTCCTGCTGCAACCTCTAATAACATCTTTGCATCATGTCACAACACAGTATAGAAAATATTCAACTGAGCAACGTCATCAAATCCATGATTTAGGCATCTTCTCAACAGTGATTTAAATTTCTCCCATGCTTCACAAAATTGTTCATCTGCTCCTTGTCTGAAAGAAATAATGTCAGATTTTGCTTTGATGTAACGGGATGGTGGGAAAAATCTATTCAGAAACTTTTCTTCTACACTACTCTAATTAGTCAAACTCTGATTAGAATGTGCTTTCAGCCATTCCTTTGCCCTACCTGCCAAAGAAAAAGGAAATAATATCAAATATGTAGATTCAAGATTTGCTTCTCTAAATCCCATGGTACCAATCAACTCATAAAAAGTAGACAAATGAATATAAGGGTCTTCATGATCCAATCCAGTGAATTGATGAGCACTAATCAAGCTTAAGAAAGATGGATTCATCTGCAACGTATGATCATCCGGAATGACAATACTGGAAAAATGTCTTGGACCTTGCTGCATAGCACAATTTCTAAGAGTTCTTCTAGGTGGATTTGAATTTGGGTTTTGATTTGGATTTATATTTGGATCTGGATTCGAATTCAAATTTTCTCCTTCTTCCGCCATATCTTCTATAATTGGGTCTGGTAAATCAAGTGTAAAAGAAGATATATGTCCTTTAAAATGCATAAATCAAAAGAGTAACTCAAGAAAATATTAGCACAAACTAAAAACTAAATAATAATAATAATAATAAAACAAAAAACAGAAATAAAAATAAAATACTCAATAAGCTAAACAAAGAATTCTCAAAGAACACCGTTCCCAGTAATGGCGTCAGAAATACTTGTTGAATTATTGGCAAGCGTACCAAAATTATCAATTGCAGTATAGTATTTCGATTAAATAAAAGTCGATCCCACGAGGAACGATTCCAATGGAAATTCCCAATTATGCTTACTAAGTATATTAAATAGATTGAGTTTTGCAAATAAGAGTTGAATTGAAATTAAATGACAAAGAACTGTAAATTGTTGAGAAAATATCAATTAAAGGTACTTAGGATTGATTTCCTTCCTTATCCCTCTTTTGTAATGGCTAAATCAATTAAGAACGTCAATTAACCTAACAATGTTGATGTCACCTACTCAAATCATCCATGTTGATTTCTCACACATGAAATTCATAAGAAAATCTAATAAATGTTTATTCCTCACACAATTAAGAGATTTTCCAGCATTAGGTTTAGGGTGTTTAAGCAATTGATACATTCATTTCATTCCTGACAATTAACATAACAAATATTCTTACCGTGATCTAGGGTTCAAGATATATTTTCCAATCATACCTCAAACAATCAATAATAAATCATTCCAAAGCATAAATGATAAGAATAACAACATCAAAGCATAAATTAATATCTCAAAATATCACCATGATACAAAAGAGTTCAAAGGAAGTGCACCGAATCCTAAGAGAATGAAGTTAGCCACTCATGTTGGCCATTACAATGCTCCAATTGATGAAGAAGTGAAGAATTGATGAAGATTAGACGAAACCCTAACAGTAGTCGTGCCTCCTCTCCTCCAAGACTGCTTGCTTTTCTCAAAACACAACTTATATTTTTATAAGAGAATTTGGGCCGGACCTCGCATCATTCATTTGCTTAAGTGTTCTTCTTTCTTTCAATTTTACTCCAATTATGCTCCTTACTCTTGTATCAAGATATTCTCGAATTCATCCTATATTGGAAGAAAAATATATTAGAATTAACATAAGTTAAGTGGTTTCATAACAATTGAAGGTATAATTATATCAACTTTTTACTACTTAACAGCTGACTAGATTTTGTTTGATTAATTTGATATATACCCTGAAATTGTGGTCTGTCAGGTACAAATTATCAAGAATAAATTTTGGATTTTAAAATTTAAATAAATTTTCTTTTTTTAAATTGGGACTTTAGATAGCGGTTCCCAAAACCGCTATCTAAACATATTAAAAGAGAGCGGTTCTAAAACTAACCGCTATTAAAAGTATATTTTAGATAACGATTATTATTTTAACCACTATTATATATGTACACTAGTACAAAATAGGCTTTTAACATCGGTTCTAGAACCGATGTAGAAAGTGAGACTTTCCATATCGGTTGTAAGGAACCGATGTAGAAAGTCTAATATTTTTTTTTATTTTATTTATTCATAACACATCTCTAATTACCCTATCTATTGATCTAGAGTTTCCTAGACTATCTTCTCCCTTTTATAACCCTTTTATATTATATTTTTATTATTTATATTTTTTAGGAATTTGAATTATTATCAGATTAAGAGAATTGTCATCTGGCAAGATTCGAACCCGAGTACCTTAGAGTCGGAGGTGATACTCCAACCACTAAGCTACCAGGATTTTACGATAATAACTTATACATAAATTATATTTATATACAAATAAAAATGTATATTCATGTAAATATATAAATATAAAATATATAAATACAAATACAAATATATTTATATATTTATATGTTGGATGTGAGGACGCGCTCGAGGATAAAAGTGTGTGTCGAGTGAATTTTTAAAATTTGATGTCAAATTTGTGAGCGAGTCTCTTTATATGGATCATAACTTAATGACAAAATATAATCTTTATAATTTATTTATATAATGATATAAAATAATTTTTTTCTTTATTTTATATCATTATATAAATTAATTATAAAGATTATATTCTATATTATTATAAATAAATTATAAAGATTATATTCTATCATTAAATTACAAATTCATATAAAGAAACTTGCTCACAAATTTGACATCAAATTTTGAAAACCCACTTGACACACACTTTTACTCTCGAGCGCTCTCTCACATCCAACATATAAATATATAAATATATTTGTATTTGTATTTATATATTTTATATTTATATATTTACATGGATATACATTTTTATTTGTATATAAATATAATTTATGTATAAGTTATTATCAGAAAATCTTGGTAGCTTAGTGGTTGGAGTATCGACTTTCGACTTCAAGGTATTGAGTTCGAATCCTGTCGATAACAATTCTCTTAATTTTATAAAAAGACTTTCTACATCGGTTCTTAATTTTATAAAAAGACTTTCTACATCGGTTCATCTGGGAACCGATGTTGAAAGTCTTGAATTCACTTTCTACATCGGTTCTTAAAGAACCGATGTGGAAAGCCCGATATTAAAAGTGATTTCTGTACTAGTGGTAATTTTTAAGAACGGTTCATCATTCTAACCACTATTATAAATACAACTTTATATAGTAGTTTCACGTTAACCACTATTATATCTTATTTATAATAGTCGTTAACCGCTATTCTTTTATTAGCGTCTTATTTAATAACATTTTTAATTGTTATTATAGAAGATGCGGAACCAATATTACTGTGTCTTTTTTGTTGCAGTGATTAACGAGAAGAGCTGATAAACTCATCCAATGTCTTGCGATGACATTTAGGCAATTAATTTCTATTAAGATTGGAACCCCTGCATGCAAAACCCACCCACTTTCTGAAAATCACATTCCTGACTCATATTTTCCATCAAACAACACTTCGATATTAAACATTTAGCCCACTATCATGAATGCAATATCATCAGCAATGTAGGAAACAATTCATAATGCGAGATTGAAATAAGCTTAAAATGGCCATAATACATATCTCACTGTACAATGCACGCCCTATTAATTATAACTTCACGTCGGAAGAGAATGAAATCAAAGACGAAAAAAATCTTAAGAGAAGTGATACATACACGCGTAAAACTCCGAGAATTAAACCCCTCACAATGAAAATGAGTGGTTCACTTATTTATTACTTTGTGAGGCCTTTGTTTGTGTATGTATCATTCTGAGGTCTTAACTTAAAGCTTCAATGTGAGATCCGGAGATGCAGAAGCTTGTGGCGGAGGAGGTACCGTTGGCGCTAGACTAGCATTTGAACTTTGAACATGTCCTTCATTAACACCAGCTCCGTGGTCTATCTGTCTGAAACTTCCAGGCCAAAAGAATCCAACATCATCATCTTCCATGAAAACCAGTGATCCAAAATGGTTTCTCTCAAACCTTGCAGCGGCTCTCATATCAGGTGCCCTCAGTGAGGATGGTATGTGTCTTTGGTGCATTGCAGAATGAGCTTCAAGACCAAGAGACCTAAAAGGTGAACCGTGAAGAGGTAGGGATGCCAAACTTGTGTACCTCTCGCTGAACATTCCCATTCTCATTGCACGCTTAGCCATTGTCCTCTCCCTTTTGTGAGCATTTTGATGCCCCCCTAATGCCTGAGAACTATAGAACTTCCTCCTGCAGTAGTTACAAGAAAAAACCCTTGGAGTTGCTGATGCTGAAGCAGGAGCTTCAGCTCCCACTTCACTGCCAGCATCACTAGAACCTTTCAACTCACCATCACTGGAATTGAAGTTGAGTGTCAAGTCAAGGGTAATAGAACCTGGATCAGTTTCATCCTTTGTAAGACAGGAGGAAGTGGTGGTGCTGCCCTTTGTAAGATCAAAAGATGCTTCATACAAGGATACATTGGAAGCCCCTTGGCTACTTCCTTCTGAATTATTGTCGGGTTCCAAGTTCAAATTTGGATTTATCATGTTGTATGGATCTGCTAAGAGTTGACTTCTTTCCTAGAAGACTTGGAAATAATCTGTCACTCAGCTTATCATGATAACCATTACCTACATTTTGATCAAATACATTATTTGCCATGTAAAGTTGGGAAATGGAACATGCAAAATTCTGGCGTTAACATGATGTTGGCAGTAATATGCAATCGAAGTAGAGCAAACCATGCCCAATCCAAAAATATAATAATACACAAGCAACTGCATAATATCAATTGTGTGAGCAAAATATATAACTAGTCTCATGTCAATAAAATAAAAAATATCATTGCAGAAACATAAAAAGATATAGGGCAAATATATATTAATGATGATAATTACGTGAAACATTCCTTCCACAGGACAAAGAAAATCAGATGCATAGTCGACATTATATGAGTCAAGTTATTCAAGTTCTTCCAACAGAGAGAGTAGAGACTGTTATTGCACAAATCTAGAGCAACAGTAACAATTGGTATACTGTTAATCAAGATGATGGCTCATTGTATGAAGCACGAACCTCTCCGAAAAATGTTTTACTTTGAAAAGAAAAACCATATATAGTTCACACCTCATTGTAAGAATATGGAGAAGAGGTGTAATAACGTATATGGAAGTAATTGAAACAAAAATTGGCCAAAGAGGGGTAGCAATTATGATGCTAAGGGAGATATACTAATGGATACTTGTACCCCACGAGAGAGTACACATAATTTTTTACCTTGGTAAGATTTAATCAACTATAACACAACAAACCTGTGTAATACTATATTAATTCAGGTGTTTTATAATTGCATTTTTTTTAACCTGATAGCCTCATACACACCAAGTGATGTTGACACATAAGAATCTAAATAAATAACTTTTTATATTATCATTTGATGTATTTTTGTAATGAACGATACATGGTCAATTTACAGACATTTAAACATGGTCTCTCAACTACGTGCATTCAATACAACCACTATAACTAAAGTACTCTAGTGCATGTCACAATCGTTAACTAGATGCACTCCTAACCTTTGCACTTTCCTAAGATACTTCTACCAACACTATTAATTTAAACTACATTTAATGTTTACCTAACAAAATCCCCCCATAAACTTAAATGTTCTTCTTGTCCTTCATTTCAAGCATCTTTTTGTTGTTCTCGAACAGAGTGGTCGACAGTGGCTTCGTGAACATATCTGCAGCTTGTACTCGGGTTCCGACGTACTCTAACTCCACATTTTTTTCTTTCACTTGTTCTCGGATGAAGTGAAACCGAACATCAATATACTTGTTTCTCTCATGATTGACCGGGTTCTTTGCCAATTCAATGACCGACTTGTTATCAACTCGAATCATAGTCCCTTTTTCTTGCTTCAACTCCAGTTTGCTTAGAAGGTTTCTAAGTCAAATTGCATGGCAGACACTCCAGGATGTTGCAACGTACTCGACTTCGCAAGTGAACAATGTTACAATGGGCTATTTTTTTGAAAGCCAGATGAACGTTGTGTTTCCCATGAAGAATACATATCCATAAGTGTTTTTCCGGTCATTAACATCTCCACACCAGTCACTATCCTAGTAGCCTATTAGTCGGTAATCATCCGTCCTAGTATATATTAGGTCAAGTGACACTATTCCTCTCACATACCTTAGAATTCTCTTTAGTGTCTTTCAATGAGTATACCTTGGTTCCTCCATATACCGACTTGTTATTCCAACACTTAACATTAAATCTGGTCTGGTATTTGTAAGATACCTAAGACTTCCAATCAGACTTTGGTATTTACTCGCATCAACTCGGTTTCCATCTGCATACTTAGAAAGTTTTGTACCAAGTTCCATAGGGGTGGAAACCGGGTTGCAACTTGTCATCTTAAACTTCTTCAAGACTTCCTCAGCATATCTTTCCTGCAACACAAAGATGTCATCCTTTTCCTAAACAACTTCTAAACTAAGGAAACACTTCATAAGACTCAAATCAGTCATCTCAAATTCCTTCTTCATCACTTCTTTAAACCCTTCAATAAGCTCGACACTATTCCCCATGAAGATAAGGTCATCAACATATAGGGCAATGAACATCACATCTTCTCCTTTCTTCTTTATGTATAGAGCATGTTCATAAGGACACTACTCATATCCATTCCTCTTGAAGTAAGTGTTAATTCTTTCATTCCATACTCGTAGAGCTTGTTTCAAGCCATAAAATGTCTTATTCAATCTCAACACTTTCTTCTCTTCGCCTCTTCGTATGTATCCGAGTGGTTGTTCAACATATACTTTCTCTTCCAAGACTCCATTCAGAAATGCTGACTTCAGGTCCATCTGCAAGATTGTCCATCTGTGTTGAGCTGCTAAGGAAATCAACAGTCTATTTGTTTCCATCTTCGTCACTGGAGCGAATACTTCGTCATAGTCTATTCCTTCCTTCTACTTATACCCCTTTCACTACGAGTTGAGCTTTATATCGTTCAACTTCTCCTTTAGCATTTGTCTTCTTCTTGTACACCCATTTTACGCCAATAGGCCGCGCTCCTTTGGGCAAATTAGTTAGCTCCCATGTGTTGTTGTGTTCTATTGCCCCGATCTCTTCGTCCATTGCCTTTTTCCACCTTTTCTCCTGCACGACCTCTTCAAAACTTAAGTTTTATGAATCTGCCAAGAAACATACAACATGCACTTCATCAGTGGAGTTATATATATCTTGTAAACTTCGCGCTCTGGGCTGTAGAGGTTCATCTTCTTCATCAGAAGTCTCATGATCTCTCATAGTATGTGGTGTATCAACTTCCGAGCTTCTACTTCCTATGGACTCCTTCTCCGAGTTGTTCCAACTCCACTCGCTTTCTTCATTAATTTGAACATCTCGGCTCATAATGACCTTCTTAGTTATTAGGTTAAACAACCTGTACACCTTGGTTTTTTCATCATACCCAATAAACACGTACTTTTTGCTTCTATCTTCGAGCTTAGTCCTATGTTGAGCTGGAACATGACAATAAGCTATGCTGTCGAACACTTTAAGGTGAGACACACTCGACTTTCTTCCACTCCAAACTTCTTGCGGTGTCTTCTTGTTCAGCTTAGCATGTGGACATCTATTTTTCACATAGATGGTACATTGCACTGCTTCTGCCCATAACTCTTTTGTCACGTTTTTGCTTCTCAACATTATTTGAACCATGTCAAGAATGATTCGATTCTTCTTCTTGGAAACTCTGTTTTGTTGGGGTGAGTATGGTGCTGTCAGAAATCTCCTAATCTCTTACTCCTTGCAATACTTCATACCTAACAGATTTGATAGATGTGTCGATCTCTTTCTTAACCATTGCTTTAAATCTCTTGAACACCTCAAACACCTCATATTTCTCCTTCAAAAAATATACCCAGGTTTTTCTTGAAAAATTATCTATAAAAGAAATAAAATACCTTTTTCCACTAAAAGACTCAGGGGTAATTGGTCCACAAAGATTTGTGTGAATCAATCTGAGTTGTCCCTTTGCACGGTACTCGAAAATGAGGTCCTCGGATGCTTCCCAAGTACACACTCTTCACAAAATTTATTTTCAAATTCCATAGACGGGAGTCCTTGCACTATCTCTTTCTTTACCAACTCTATTAGTCCGCCACAATGCAAGTGGTCAAACCGAAAATGTCACATCATTGCTTCATCCTTCACGTCAAGTTGCAAACACCTCTCTTAGACTATCTTCAAGTCCAACTTGTACATTCTGTTCTTCTTCATTCTATTCGGACAATCAAATGATCCGACTTGTCCTTCAAGTATAATACTCGATCTTTTATCAGAATCGAGTACCCTTTCTCCATCAGCTGGCTTGTGCTCAATATGTTGCTTTTGAGATTGGGTACATAGTACACGTCTCTGATTTCTCCAACTCGGCTATTCTTCTACATGTACTAGATTGTACCTCGGCCTTTTATTGCCACCTTTGATGCATCTCCAAATAACACGTATCCGGCCTCAACTTTAGTGAGCTCCTTAAAAAAGTTCTCATCCCCACATATGTGGTTACTTGCTCTTGTATCAAGATGTCAAACAGAGTTGTCAGAACAACTCGAACTTAGCTTGACACTCGAACTTCTCGACATCATTAATACTTTTTCTTCCTCAGTGTCCTCAGAGAGGAGATTTGTTTCCTTTTTGCTCTCAGATCGGCAGTCCTTTGTGAAATGTCTCACATTCCCATAATTATAACATTTGATACCTGAATAGTAGTCCTTAGCAAAATGTCTGTACTTCCCACATTTGAAGCACTCAACTCCGAAATTGTTTGACTGACCACCTCGGCCTCTACTGCCACGACCTCTACCTTGTCCTCGGCCACGCCAATTTTGTTAATCGACTTGCTCCTTACCTCTTTCATATCCTTCTCTACCTCTACCATCTCGACCTAGAGTGTTCTGAGCATAAGGAACCTTCTTCTCCTTTAAGGTTGCCTTTGCTTGAAGTGCTTGATCAAGGGACTCCTCTTTCTTCTTCCTTCTCTGCTGCTCATGCCCTTCAAGCGACCCGGCAAGCTCTTCCACCAAGAGCACTAACAAGTCCTTGGACTCCTCTATCACACAAACGATATTCTCAAAGTTGTCGATTAACGACCTTAAGATTTTCTCCACCACTCGGCAAGTGGACAACATCTCTTCATTTCTTCCGAGTTGATTTACCATGGTCTCAATACGGGAAATGTACTCAGCAACCCCTTTGACCTCTTTCATCTTCACGCTTTCAAGTTCGCTTCTGAGAGTTTGAAACCTGACTTGCTTCACACGATTATCCTCTTTATATGCCTTTTCCAGAATATCTCACGCTTTTTTTGAAGATTTAACATTTGTTATCTTCTGAAAGCCGGACTCATCAATAGCTCGGTACAACACGTATAAAGCCGTTTTATCCTTTACCCGTGTTGCTCTCAACACAGCAAGTTGGGCAATCGTCTGCTCTTCAATATCCTCTAGTTCTTGGTGCCCATTTTTTACCACAT